CGCCCCGCGGTTCCCAGTGCGGTCGGAGCCCGCCTTGCTGCGGCCGCGGCCGGGGGTCGGTAGCGCCGCGTCTCCGGGGTGCGCTTGTCCCCTCCCCATTTCTCCCGGGCCTCGGGAGCCCCGAGAGCCCAGTGATGGCGTTGGCGGAAGTGAAGCCCCGCGCAGAGTGAAATGGCCCTTCTGCGCTCCTCACCCAGCGCGCTCGTTCAACAACGACCCTCCCGTTTCCCCCATAGTAGCTTGTTCGGGCTCAAAGTGCCGAAGTACGCTGCTGCCGCGGAATAGCTTTCTTTTTGCAATAATTTTTACAAATTCGGTGTGTAATTTCCGTACAATAAAATGGCCCCATTTTCTGTGTGCAAATCGGGGTCTGACAAATTATGCATCCGTGTAACCACGACCCCGACACAGACGTAAACCATTTCTATCACTCTAGAATGTTCCCTCGGCCCCCTTCCGGTCAATCCACAACCCCCCATCCATTTCTATGATAGCTTAATTTTGTCTGTTGTAGAACTTCTTAAAATGGGATCTTTCAGTAAGTACTCTCGTTTTTAACATTACGTTTTAAATGGCTGTCGTTGACAAGGTGTCTCTTGGTGCTTCTGATGTTTTCAGTTCTAGGCCTGCACTGTCCAAGGTGGCCACCACTCGCCACATGTGGCTCTTAAACACGAAATGTGGCAAGTCTGAATTGAAGTGTGCTGTGAGTAGACACATCTCATTTCGGGAGACTTAGTACCAAAAAAAACATGCAGAAACAATGAAACTATTATGGATACATTGGGTTAAATAAGATTATTAAAATTAACTTCATCTGTATCTTTTTTAGTATGGCTACCAGAGAATTTCAAGTTACACAGGTGGCTCATGCAATGTGTTCGCAGTCGCAGGACAGCAGACACTGTACCCCTACATATTTCTATTTTACATTTCGTTCTGCTCACTGTATATGAGTAAATGAAAACGTCAGTCTTCACGTGGGGAAAAAAAAACAGGTCCATTCAAGGAAGTAACTTGAAGACCCTATCTTTTCCTACAGTTTTAAAATCTTGTTTCAAACTTACTTGTTTATTTAAAAGGAATAAAAAGGACCAGGTGTCTCTTTGGTATTAAGTGACGCGTTAAAAGACTTTGTAAAATATCTAATGTGCTTTAAAAAGGTATCTTGTGTTTTTCAAAGTATATGAAGCTAGTAATTAGCCTACACCCTAATTACCTAACTATATTAAAATTCAGCATTTTGGTGTACTTTCGATCAGTCTTAATTAAAAAAAAAAGTTGAGATGATATATTCAATTTTATATCCTGCTCTGTTCATGTAACATAAGCACATCTTCTATGAAAAATTCTTTGGATTTTTGACAGCCACATAGTGTGACTTCACATGAATGCACTACAGTTTTCTATGGCATTTTTTGGTTTTGCTAACTTTTACAAATAGGAAGTCATTTTAGTAGTGCGATAGTGCCAGAAGGTATGTTTACGGCACCGCTTTTTTGCCCCTTAATTGCACAGAAAAGGTGAAGTTCAGGAGGGCGGGGGCCTTGACTTTTCACCTCCATTTCCCAAGGACCTGGGAACACGTCAAGCCTATAATAGACATTCAGTAAACATCTGCGAGTTGATTGAATCAGTGAGTAGGTGGTTCTGAAAATAACAGCTAACTTCATTTAGCACTTGGGCACTCTCTTGTAAATGCCCACACACCTCTATAAGGCAGGCATGATCTCTGTGTACTGCATAAGTAGAGAAAATCGAGGTTTAGAAAAGTTGAAGTTGTCCAGGGGCAGAGATATAAATGACAGCATGTGAATCCAGGCTGGCTGACTGCAGAGGAAGGATACTTATCAAAATAGAAGAAATCAACAGTGAGATGAGTTAGGGAGGGCTGTGAAGAAATTACCACTGTCATGACTACCTGGGCCATCAAGAGTGGAAAGAGATAAATATTCAGGTACATTTTGGATCGACAGGGGGAGCATTCTGGGTTTGGATTAAGAATTTTTTAAGCTAAATCTAGCTCACTGAGTGGATGGCCAGATGGCTAGGGAAGAGAAACAATGGCGTTGAAGGAGATCAGCTGTATTTGTAGAGACAGGCCCAGGGACTTAGGGAAACCATTTTGGATGGGACATGTGTATTGTATTGTGGATGGCACGGTTTATTTGCCCTGACCACAATCAGCTAGTTCAAATTGAACTCACAGCTCAGAATTGAGATAACTTTACACCTTTAAGTTAAGATAGTTTGCTTTGAATGATAAGCAGCGGAAACTACAAAATCAGGATGGGCATTCCTTTGAGGAGGACGGACAAATAAAGTAAATGGGAAATTGAAATCATTCCTACCTGATTGCATTTATACTTTATTTCCAAGTATTTTTTAAAAATGTGAATTACAGTAAAAAGAGGGATTTATTATTAGCTTTTGTTAGTTACTTTTTTTTTTCAGTTGTAATTTTCTGTTAGTGGTCTTAGATGCCCGTTTGCCATCCATGATGACGCAAATAATGCTGTTAAGGCTTACTTTCACGTGCATGGTCAAATGGCAAACACGGAAGGGCCCTGAGCAGGCTCAAGGGAAAAATAGTAGTACTCAAAATAAAGAAAATCAAGTAGGTATTGGCTTCCTGTCTGCCTCTCAAATAAAAGGGCTTGAATCACACAGCTACAAAAGTCAAATAAAATTTCCTTACGACATATTTTCTTTTTTTCCCTGCCTGGATATTCTTGCTTGGTAAAACTGATAGGTAATGAAATAAATTCAGTGTCTGGCATGCCTATTTAAGGAGGATACATTCATTATTATTAATAGTGATGTTAACAGCTAACTTTTATTAAGTTCTTACTGTCTTAATAAAGGGGTTGATTTTGACCCCTTCCATACCAGGCATCAGCAAACATTTTATATAAAAGGCCAGGTAGTGAATATTTCAGGCTTTGCAGGCCAGAGGTCTACTACACAGCTCTGCCATTGTAGCGAGAAAGCAACCACAGACAATATGTAAGTCAACGGATATGAAGTTTGAGTTTCATACAATTTTAATGTGTCACGAATTATTACTCGAGCTTTTCTAGATTACTTAAAATGTAAAAAACATACTTAGCTTGAGGACCATACGAAAACAGACAGTGGGCCCTAGTTTGTTCACGTCTGATCTGTACCTAAACTCAATCCTTAGAACCACCTAGGAATTTTTTTTTTTTTATGTTGGCATCTACAGATGGCTGACACCTGTGCTATGCTTAGCCGTGCCTTGAGAGGCCAAGCCGTGAACTGAGGCCAGCTGACACTAGAGCTGGACTTGGGGCTGCTCAGTAAGAGGTACGGGGCACGCTGAGGCCAGATGCTGCTTGTTTGGGTTTTGTGCACCTTTGAGAGATTTTAGGAAAGTCTATAACATGAGCCAAGACAGGCCATTTGTCTGGAAAAAGCCACTGTGGGCGGCTTGGGTGGGCCAGCACGTTGGGAGGGGTAGAGTCTCATGGAATCACCTGGGCAGGGCCACCTGTGTTATTCAGCTTGATGGAGACTCAGATATGGTGGCCGCCTGCATCTGCAAACTGGGCAGAGGAGGGTTCAACAAAGGAACAGTGGCCTCTGCCAGCCCTTCTGTCTGGGAGAAAGCCGCCCCTCCAGTTCTCACCCTGAAGCCAGACAACTCAGTTCTTCCCCGTGTGTCTCATGCCTTTGGGGCTGCTGCCCCAGCGCTGGAGCTCAGAGCCAGTGAGTCCGTCAGTGAGTAAGGCCGGCGCGGGCCCTTTAAGAGGAATGCCTGTGACTCCTGCAGCCATCCTCTCAGCCATAATCTTTGCTGGTTTTCACAACCAGAGGTTGTGGAGACTTCGCTCCCTGGCACTAGAAACCCTCGCTCTTCAAAGGGACCTCTGCAGACGAGATAGCCCTCCTGATTCTGAAGCATCACATGTGAGTGAGGGTCCAGCCCAGTCTGCGTCTCCGCCTCTTCTACCAATCTTGAAGTGGCCCCTTCTGTGTGTCCCTAGTTGTAAGACTTCTGTTCAGCTAGACGTCAGGTGATTCTCAATGATGGTTGATCTGTAATTGTAATTTTGACGTGGTTATGAAAGGAAGTGAGCACGGCATTTACCTACTTCGCTCTCTCTCTCTTTTTTTTCTTAATGCCTACAGCACCTGGTCTTCGTAGGTGGTCTCCCATCCAAGTACTAACCAGGCCCAACCCTGCTTAGCTTCTGAGATCAGACGAGATCGGGCACGTTCAGGGTGGCATGGTCGTAGACCCTACTTCGCTCTCTTAAAGCCTCCTCCCCTGAATAATATTCTAAGGGACTGATATTTTTATTCCATTTCACAGATGAACAAACAGGCACAGATTGGATTAGTAACTTGCCCAGGTATAGCTTGTACAGATCTGTCTGACAACAGCACCTGATCTCTTATAAATTTTACCATTCTCTGAATCCCAGAGAAATTTATCATGATGAAATTCGTCGCATGATACAGTTGGGGTAAATGGAAAATCAGGGCAACAAAGCCAGCAACTGCTTGCAGAAAGTAGCCACAGCTTCCTACATATTGACAAAAATTAAAAACCAGAAGATAAGACTTTGTTTCAAAGGTTTCAAATATTTAGTTTAGATAGAAAAATGCTGTGTAGTTCTGATTTGAGGTTCTGATTTAACATACTCTCTGCTTTACTGGTTTGAGAACATTTTTCTCTTCTCTGACCCTCAGTTTTATTACCTTTCAGATTTTATCTGGGTGCTGGCACCCAGCCATTACTCTACCAATGAAGTACATCCTGGTCACTGGTGGGGTCATCTCAGGCATTGGGAAAGGGATCATTGCGAGCAGCATTGGTATGATTCTAAAATCATGTGGACTCCGAGTTACTGCCATCAAAATAGACCCCTATATCAACATCGACGCGGGCACTTTTTCACCTTATGAGCATGGTATGAAAGAGAACCGCTTCCTCCCTTATAAAGCACTGGATTAAGTTGCAGTTCTTTTATGTGTTTTGGGTAATTTCTTTAGGATAGAGTTCCAGAAGGAATGCTGCTGAATCATACGTTATGAATATGTGAATGTTCTCATGGTCATTGATACATTGCTGATGACATTCCAAGTCAGTCCACTGTTTTGGGAAACTGTGTGAAGACACCATTTCCGTTGTACCTTTTGCAGTGTGGATTATGTTCTGTTTTATTATCATAAAGGTGATGTGTTTCTCTTAACATTTCATTGTTAAGAGAAAAAGACAATATAGAAATATTGGCAGTTATGTTGCCTATAGAATGACATGAAGAAAATAAAATTGATTTCCCACTTTTTGGAGCAACTATTATTAATGTGGACATTTTGATGTATATAGTAATTAACTTTAAAAAGGCATTAACCCTTACATATTTTCTTTTACACAGAAGCAGGACAGTACATAAATCATGTCTGTCTCTTCACGAAATGAGCATACTGTGTTAACCAGCCCCCAGATCAAAAACCAGAAACCCCCCTTTGCCCAAAACCACCAGGGTAACTGCTATTCTGTCTTCTGACACCATAGATTAGTTTTGCTTGTTTTTGAACTTTAAATGAATTGAATCTTATAGTCACATTATTTTAAATCTAATTTCAAAAAGAATATACCGTAAACATTTTTATGTATTCTATATTCTTAAAGGCTGCACAGAGTCTGAATAATAGGAAATAATTTCGAATGTTTCGATGTAAACAACACTGGGATGGAAATCTTTAAAATTCATTCTTTAAACACTTAAGTGCAGAATCTCTGATTTGACAAGTAGTTATGTTTTTTAGGCTTTTGATACATAATGCATATTGCCAAAGGTTTTTTAGGTTCAGGATCCCTTATTTATAACTGTAAAATCCAAAAAGTTTTGAAAATTTAAATTTTTTCATAGGTTTGTGGCTATTTATAGTGTTTTTCAAAAGTTTTGAAAATTGAAAAATATAAAACTGGCGCTATTTCTATTCTTTATTCCACTTAGAATGTGTTTGATTATTTATTCCACTTGAGGTATATATGCTTTCGGGGTGTTTTCTAATATATGGAAAGTATTCTATATTACCTCTCTATAATCAAAAAAAATTGCAAATTCCAACTTTCATCTTGTCTCTAAGAATTTTCTCATAAGGCTTGTGGATCTGCACCAATTTACATCCTTGTCAACAGTGCACAAGAAGGTTCGATTCTTTATACCCTTGCAGAATGTTATTGTTTTTAAATTACACTAACCCGAGAGTAAGAGGGTATCTTACAGAAGAGGGTATCTCATCATTTTAACTCAAATTTCTTTAATTTTCATCATTTCTGTGTAAAGACTTATTCATGCCTATGGTAGATTGTATTTTTTTTTTTCGAAACTATCATCCAACATCTTTCGGTGGAGTAAATTTCCCTGCTCCATTGACTTTGGTCATATAGGGTGGTTTGTTTGGAACTTTCCTGGTTTTGAAACTCAAAGTCTCTCATTCTGGGAGCCCTGTTAGTCCTGGGCAAACCGGAGAGGTTGGTTGCCATATTTGGAAGTGTGATTTGTTCTGCCTATGGGATATTAGTAAATATGACATATGCCTTGTCGAAGCAGGCATTTTCAATGCAACAGCATGATTTGGCTCATGAGAACCGCCTGCCTTATACAGAGATTCCTCCTTCAGCCTGGATCCTGGGATGAGAATGCCCAGAGCAGACCCACAACTGACCCACAACTCCCATGTAACATGACGGAGAAATCAGTACATGTTTTGTAAGTCGCTGAGATTTTAGGCCTCTTTGGTATGCAGCAAAATTGACAAATGGCATGTGTTTTGCCAATTTTCCTTTGGGTTTTTTAAATGATTTTCAAGAATACTGGATGTAAAGTATATTAACCTATATTTATCACATGTATATATCTTTACTCTGTTTGAAATTTGTCTAACTATGATCTCTGTTAGTTCCTGATACATTTCCATTTACCATTTATGGGATTAAATGTATCGACTATTTCCTTTATGGTTTCTGCCTTTGACGTCACCTTTAGGCTTCTCCACCCCAGGAATAGTTAAATATTCATCCATATTTTCTTCTGGCACTTTTATAGTTTCATTTGCTTTTACTTTAACATTATTAACACATCTGGTGTGAGGTAAGGATGTAAGACAATTTTTTTTTCTAAATTTTTTTCCTAATTACCCCGTTATTCCTCGTGGCATTTATCTAAGATTTCATCCTTTCTCCACTGACTTGAAATACCACCTTTTATTATATACTAAATTTCTGTCTATACTTAGGTCCGTCTTTGTACTGTTTCGTTCCAGATCTCTTTGTTTCTTCCTGTCTACCTTTCTAACAACTACAGCTTTTTATTATCAGATAGGTCAGGATTTTCCTCATTGTTCCTTTTCTTTCTTTTTTAATTTCAAAATGTTCACTGTCTTCAAGATTAATTAGGAATTATTTTGTCAAACTTCACAAGAAATCAAATTGGAGTTTTTTGGCAGAAATTGCTTTAAATTTATGAATTAATTTGGGAAGACTTAAACCGTGAAAGTATTTACTGACCCATTCAGGAACTTTATAAGTGGCTTTCATTTTATTTATACCTTCTTTTATGTCTCTAAAGTCAGGTTTTTAAGTGTTCTTCTTGTAAGTCCTACACATTTCTGAGTATTTTATCAACTTTGACTTGTGATATCTTTTTTTAAGACACGTGTTAAATTCCTTTATGTAATAGAGACCTTTTTGGCTATTTTGGTTTTGTGTATCTGTTGATGTTATCTTATTCCATATTTATATATTTTGAAATATATACATATATGTATTTCAGTATTCCTTTACTCACTGTTATTCATTATAAGGGCTTTTATTTTTACCTCTTTTTTATTTTGGTAATCAAACCTGTTTTTCTTCCAAATTAACTTTATTTAAAATATCAGAGTGCCCTCTAACCATTTTTCTCCAGGCTCTTGACCGACTCCTGCCTTACCCATCAATCCACCAATTTCTGCCACTGTCTTCCTCAGACTCTTTGTTCAGTATCCCCAACTGTGAATATGGTATATGCTTGGTCAAAACTGGAGATGGGTCAAAACCCATGCAAAGCCTCTGGATGTTGATGGTTTATTTATTTGTTTGTTTGTTTGTTATAATGACATTGGTTAACAAAATCCAGTAAGTTTCAGGTATACAATTTAACAGTAAGGCATATATATATTGCATGTGTGTCGACCGCCCGTAGTTAGATTTCTTTCTGTTACCACATCAAATTAACTTTAGTGTTATTGTCAAGTTTAAAAAAACTGTTGGAATTTTAATTATAATTACACTAAATCTAAAAAGCTGTTTTTGAAGACTTGTCATCTTTAGTTTTTCTCTTCTGGGAATATAATACATACATACTTTTAAATTTTAGGAATTTATAACTTGAAGACCTTTGCCATATATTTGGAGTATTGTCATATTGGATTTGGCTTGAATTACCTAAAGGTTTTTCAGAGATCTTATTTGTTGGAAGTTAAGATGATCAAAGTAAAAAGGCTTTTCCATAGATTGGAACTTCCTGACGAACATGAGAAAGTGGAATGTGAACTGGAAATGGAATTTGAGAAATATGGAAATACTGCATATTCATTAATTTGCTCTTTTGTCCTTAAAGTTAGAGATCTTCCTGACTGCACTTAGGTACCTTATAAAGGAGACATAAATGAGGATATAAAGGGTTTCTGATTAGGTTTATAAGCTAGCCAACCTTCTTTTTTGCTGCGAACATCTCACAATAGGAGTAAACGACAGAATTTCCTTAACCGGGGAGAGGTTCAGTTCTTACAAGGCGGCTTTAGAACATTGGACTCCCAATCGATGCCTCCAAGTGACATTGGAGACCCAGAGACATGCCCGATAATCAGTGCAGGTGCTCCATGTGTGATTAGGTCTACATCTACATCTTTTTCCATGGAGCTTTTGTGCAGGTGCCTTATTGCACACGCTGGCTTTTTCGCCTCGCTTTCATCTAGTTGCCCCGTGGGCTCCCTGAGGCCCTGCTTTTCATCTATTGTCTGTTTAATTGTGGCTTTACCCAAGGTGAGAATCAGTTAAAACTTATGGCAATTCAAGAGTCCAGGGTACCGATGCTTTGAAGTAAATTGCTATTAATATTAAAAATTGCCGTTTTAAAGTCCCTTTTTTTATGTGGTATATGATGAGTTTGGAAAAGCTAAATCTTGAAGACAGAATTTCAGTAAGCATTTGAAAAAATACCATGATAGGATACCAGAATTTTTCTGACACATTTTCAAGGATATAATTGAATCGTTAAGTTTTCACATCAAAATAATGAAATGGTGATAGACTATGGCTTATAAATAAGTGTCTTAGAAGCTTTTTAATAAAATGTGTCCCTCTTTGAAAAATAATATACTGGAAGCAAATTTAAAATTTTTACATTGCCTTTGTATTCCAGGTGAAGTGTTTGTCTTAAATGATGGTGGAGAAGTTGATTTAGACCTTGGAAATTATGAAAGGTTCTTGGATATTAATCTTTATAAAGATAACAACATCACCACTGGGAAGATATATCAGCATGTGATTAATAAAGAGAGGCGTGGTGACTACCTGGGGAAAACAGTACAAGGTATTATATTCCACAAATGTTAGGGAGCCCTGTGTGCTAAGCACCCACACCCTGCTCAAAATACACATGACAATGACAAGGTCCCTGGACTCTACAAGTTCTAATCCTTTTTAAATCCCTGTGTTCTTTTCATTTTCCTCAAAGGTGTCAAGTTCATCTTCCATGGTTCTGATGGTATTCATCAGTCTTTTTCTTTTTTACTAATGCCGTCGTTTCCCTTAGTCCATATATCTGTCTGTCTTTGTCTCTTTCTCTCTAGCTTTTATTTATAAAGTTCATCTTTTTTCATCTTTATTCATCTTTTTTACCTGATCGGAGTGCAGTTTTTTGTTTGTTTTTGTCTTGACTTTTATTTAATATGTTCTTTTTCTCCTTTTTTCTTGTATCTTTGCATGGATAATGATTACTCTCCTTTGAAGAAGGACAGTGTTGGGGAAGGACTGGGGAATTGAACTGGAGTGGCAGGTAGCATGGTTGGACCCTTTTTTCACCAACGCTTTCTCTGGATAGTATGGTCTCTTTTGTCTTAGAAAAGATGCCCGTCCCCCCACAACTCCGAAATCTTGTATTCTTACGTTCCTACATGGTAGGGTAAAGGTGATAATTCCTCATCCCCTTTAAATCACTGGAACCATCTGAGAAGTAGATGTAGGAGTAGGACAGATGGAGGTCAAAAGATCGGCTATGTTATTGCTGAAACGGGACGGTGTGGCATCGATCTCTAGTACAGTTGCACTTTCTAATAGTTTTCCCCCCAAGTGTGGGTCTTGGGACAACCTGCGGGAGTGAGTTGCTGCCACACAGGGTATGTCCCAACAATGGAGGAGATGGAAAGGCCCCAGACCTGGGCCCTGACCCCATAATCCCTGTGCTGCCCACGTGGAAGCAGAATCGGCAGACCTTAACCTGCCAGAAAGGAGTGGGCTAGGCATGCACAGAGCGGTCGTTCCAAATACACCAATCAGAGATGACTTCCTCCTGCCTCGAGAGCCTAGCAGGTGTGAGGTGGTGCAGGTGACAGATACATCTTTGCCTCAGCTTCCTGAAGGCTAACATTCCTACTTCTTGCTGTTATATTAGGTTTGCTGAATTGAGTCCCCATGTACACATGTGGATGTCACTATTTTGTCTCTTCAGTTGAGATCTCCAGCTGCAGGCCTACTCACCACCCAAGGGCCACCTGGGCCTCACACGTTTGCAGAGATGTCACCTTTTGGCCTTTTCAGCTGATATTAGCACTTGCAGGTCCCTGATCAGCACGCAGACCTTGTCTGTACCCCCTTGAGTGGACCCTTCCCCATGGCTTTTGGGCTGCCCAGAGTCTGGAGGGCGCGGCCACTCTGCGTCCTTCTTTCCTGTGGAATCTAGCTAGCATCCAGCACTCTAGGCAGCCCTCCTAGCACAGGTTTTCGTTGACGTTATAGGAGTTTTCTATTTGCATCAAAGATGGTATTTCTGCTTTCTGTCTCTTGTTCTCTGGGGTCAGTTGATTTCAAGAGTAAAGGCATAACATTTAAATGACTAAACCTATACCGCTTCTGTAGTATTAATTTCAGTGAAGGAGGATAATAGCATTAGGACTGTAGCTTGATTAATTTGCCAGGTGGCTGTCAGGTTATTTGGGAGATCTAAAGACACTGATATATTCTTTCTCATGACCATGAAATAAGCTTTCGTGCCAATTAATTCTTTCTACAGTTGTTCCTCACATTACGGATGCTGTCCAGGAGTGGGTTATGAATCAAGCCACAGTGCCTGTGGATGGTCATAAGGAAGAGCCCCAGATATGCGTTATCGAGGTAAGCATGGAACTTGTCTTTGTAAACTTATATTCCTCTAGGCTTTTAAGCATCTGATCTTTTTATTCACCAAATATATGGAGATGATTTCCTGTGTGCCAGACACTGAGCTAGGATATAGAATTCCACCAGGGAATGACATAGATGGTCCCTGCCTTTGTGGTCACAAGTCAGTGGGCAAGATTGGCGTTAAGTGGGGTGAGTGCTCCTGGGGCAGGGTAGCAGCAGCCCACATGCAGAGACATCAGTTGCTCCTAAAGTCAATGTTAAGGCCTCCTCGCCAGGCCTGGTGTGGGCACAGTCTCTGGCCTCAAGGAGCTTGCAGAGCCCCCTGTCCTGTCACAACAGAATGCATTCCAGTGAGTGCTGTTTGAGAAGCATCTGCAAAGTGCATCAGAAGAAGAGAGAGGGAGTCGGGGAAGGCTGATGGTAGAGGTGATTTGGAGGTGAGGATTAGCTGTTTAAAAAAACAACAGTATTTGAACTTGCCACTTTTTCACTGTTTTCCTTCTTGTCAATGGGAAGAATGAGAATGACATCTGTATGCTCCTTATCTAAATGTCAGTTGACTTAGTAGCTAGGCAGGAGAGCAGAATAATGAACAGTTTGGTTCCTAGAGTCAGACTGCCCAAGTTCAAATTTCTGCCGTGACCCCTGAGTGACCCCCGAGTGGTTTATAAGTCAGCAGGCAGAGTCTGGAGCCATACTGCTTGTGTTCATAGCCCAGCTGGGTCACTTACCAACTGGGCGACCTTGGACAAGTTTACATAACTTCTCTGTGCCTCAATTTACTCATCTGCTAAGTGGGAATAATGGTAATACTTAACTCATTGTTTTGAGGATTAAGTGATCAATATACTTAGTGCTTAGAATAGTGTCAGATCTATAGTATGTGCTCAAAAATTATTAGCCATTATTAAGGTACATGTGTGACTTTTGGCGAGTTCTCAAAGCTTCAATATACTTATCTATACAATATGATAATAATGTAATATTATAATAATAACAAGATAATAATAGGGTTGTGAGGATTAAATGTGATAATATAAAAGCACTTGGCAATATCTGGCATTTAGAAAGTGCTCAATAAACACATTAGCTGTTACTATGGTCATTATTAGTGTTAGCAGATAGATATGATGCTATCTACAAGATCTGTTTTGTTGCTAGTAGAGCTGATAAACAACATGACGTGCTGTTCTATTATATATTAACTATTTTGCATTACTATAATCGTATGGCCGATAATATAAATATATAAGTGTGCTATGCAAAAATTTCTCTCCCATGGTATTTCTTCTTTCACAATTTATGAGGAAAGAGGGAATCTTTCCTTTACAATTTTTTCAAATTGGAGTTTAACAGACACAGAAAAGTACACATGTAGATGTATAGCTTGATGAAGTTTTACAAATCGATCACACCTGCATAATTAGGCTTGCTTCCTTTAAAAAATATTTAACGTCTAATACAGTGAATAGTTTGCAAATAAATTGGGCAATGATAAAAGCAAACAGCATAAGAAAAGAGAAAGGCAGGTGATAGCTCCAGAAAGAGTACCGTCTGATATGAGAACGAAGATGTTACTGGGGCATACCTTGACTCTACAGTGAAGGAGGCTTAAACAGTCTCTCCGTTTATTGATTTTCAGTTTTTAGAATCAATCTCAGGATGCGTCAGGGAAGGCTTAAAAGCAGGGGTGTAAAGGTCGTCAGCTTTGAAAGGGGGATTCGTGAGGTAGAGGGGGTGGATGAGTGCTGGGTGGGGGGGAAGGAGGGAGATAAGAACCTCATTTTATACTGCGAGGTGTCTACAGATACTATTAATACAGTCATATGCTGCCTAACGACGGGGATACATCCTGAGAAATGGTCGTTAGGTGATTTTGTCGTGCGAATGTCACAGAGTACACTTACACAAACCTAGATGGTCTAGTCGACGACGCACCTAGGCTATGTGGTCTAGCCTGTTGCTCCTAGGCCACAAACCTGCACAGTGTGTTACTGTACAAAACACAAGATTAGATCAAGCACAAGAGAAAATGATGTAATCAAGAGGTATGATAAACACAAAATGTATGAGGCTGCTGCTGGCATAACATATACTGTTTTACAGCAAACATTTTTTTACAAGTAGAAAGAGTAGACTCTAAAATAACAATGAAAAGTCTAGTGTAGTAAGTACACAAACCAGTGGCATAGTCATTTATTATCATTATCAATTATTATGTAATGTACATAATTGTATCTGGACGACATTATAAATTAATATCTCTACACTCTACAAAGTGATTTCCTCCAAAGTCTAGTTTCTCTTCATCACCATACGGTTGACCCCTTTCACCCCTTTTGCCCACCGTCACCTTCCCGTCCCCTCTGGTAACCACCCATCTATTCTCTGTATCTGTAAGTTTGGTCTTTTTTGTACGTTTGTTTTGTTTTTTTAGATTCCACATATGAATGAGGTATTTGTCTTTTTCCTTCTCACCTGTTTCACTTAGCATAATACCCTCAAGGTCCATCCATGTTGTCACATCTTCTATATCCATCCATTCATTGACAGACACTTTCTTTTAGTTTTTGTAGTTAAAAGAATAGCCTTTTTAAAAGACTATTAACTTAATCACAGGAAAAATTCCAAATGGTCCTATGTATGAATGTTTTTGCTTTTTATTCTCTCATTCTGCTCTTTTTTAAAAGAAAATCTACATTTCTAATAATAATCACAAAAAGAGGGAATGAGAAATGATCTTTTTAATGTAATTGAGCTGCCCCCGAACTTCATTAAAATATGTCCAATTTGACTGTGCGATGAGCTGTCTTACCACTTCTTTTTCATCTTTTCAGCTTTCCTAGCCATTATTTTTGAGAATCATTCTTGAACAAAGCTTTTATATGTCATTCCGGGGCTGGCACACCTGACTCTCACTGTCATCATTTTACAAAGAAGTTTGCTATGGAGTCAGACTCTAATTGTTAAAGATTCCACCTGCACAATGAAATCAAGAATTCTCAATGACATCTCAAATTAAACTGAAATTTCCATCTCAACAAATAACAAGCAAACATTTTAGGCCTGTACCTGCACACTGTTCTTTATTTTTTTCATGTCTCTGTTCTTTATATATTTTTTTCTGCTCTCGAATTGACTTGTTTGGCTTAACAAAGATTGATTTAGCACTTTAATATGTACTAGCTCCATGATAGCTGCAAATATGATGAGATGATGACTCCTGCTTTCCAGGACCCATCATCTCAATTTTTAACTTCACGGAAACAGAAATTGTGCCACCCTTTGGTTTAGATTATTATAGTAATCCTGGCAAAAGATAATGTGGGTTTGCGTGTCTAGGATGGAAACAGTGCAGAGTTTTGCAAGAGGTTTTGGAGGTATGAACCACTAAACTGGGTTGGGTGAGGAAAAGGGGGCATCGAGGATGATTTCTAGACGTCTAGCTTGAACCTGGTAGTGGCAGGAGATGCTATTTGCTGAGATGAATTAGCACCCAGAGAAACAGGCTCAGAGTTGGGGGACCAGGAGTTCAGTTTGGGACATGGTAAGTTTGAATAATTGATTCATCCAAGATGTTGAGGACAAGCTGGCTACAAAGCCCAGTGGTGCTGGGAAGAGAGGTCAGGGCTTGAAGTCGATTCTGGAGCCAGTCAGGTAGCTGAAGCCAGAGAAGATGGTCAGTTCTGGGGCGGGGTCCACTGTGATCTCATCTTTCTCAACATCCAGATCATTCCACTTAGTGCTTAAGTTTTACTCCTAATTATTGTTCTTTAACTCTGCCTTAGTTTCCTTGCTAAATTCTGAGCTCCTTAGGAACACCTTGTCTTAAATTCTTCCCTGCACCTCATTTATAGTGTTGAGCATGTAGTAGATGCTCCAATGCTAGACAATTAATTTTAAAATCCATTTGATGGTCTTTAAGTATTTAAATGTGGTGAGGATGAATGGGTTAAGGTGATTTTTATCCTGGTCTAAAGTAAAATGCTTAAGCAACTCTTAAAAGCACATTGTAAATTAACATTCATCAAAGGATTATATTGTCAGGAATATTCTCAGGGCTTTTGGTGCTGCTTGTTTCAGAAAGCCGTCATGTTTTAATAGCAGTGATTTAATTCTGTTAGTACCACCATTGCAAAGAGACTGTTCAGATGCATGCATATTTGTGTGTGTGTGTGTGTGTGTGTGTGAGAGAGAGAGTGTGAGTGTGTGTGTGTGTTCGTTCATGGAGAGAAATGCTCGCTGTTTCACACCTGGCAGAGCCAGGTGGCTCTCACCTTTCTCATATCGTCACTTGATTTGAATTCTACCTTCCAACTGGACCACCGGTAGAACCTAACTGATCTCGCTCTTTTGTGGCCTATATTCTGGATCTTTTTTCTGCCTATGATTTCCTTTCTTTTTTCTTGAAGCCCTCCATTTTATTTTCTTATTATTTTTTAACGCCTACAGCACCTGATCTTCCTAGGTGGTCTCCCATCCAAGTACTAACCAGGCCCGACCCTGCTTAGCTTCCGAGATCAGCCGAGATTGGGTACGTTCAGGGTGGCATGGCCGGAGACTCCATTTTATTTTTTAACCTTTTCAGTCTTAATGAGATGAAGGGTCGACAGTCTTATAATGATCTCCCATTTGGCGGGGCGGGGATTTCCTAGTCTGTAAAATCCATGGTGAATCGATGCCAACATGACTCATTTACTTCATTTAGTCCCTATGTCCACACAACAGGCAGAGTGGTCTTATAAACACAGGAAGCGGATCATCCTTAAAGCTGTCCTTGCCCTCTTCCTTCTCCCTTCTTGAGGCTCCGCTCTTTCATGGTTACATGGCTATGTTACGTTTCATGTCCTCTTATTTTGCTTTCTAGTCTCTATTTTCTTTTCCCTTTGCTTCATCTCCCTCTTAAATTCTGACCTTAGGATGAGCCCTCTTAACACTTCTTTAATGTACAGTGCTTTTCTTTTTCATTTCTAACAGCTTTAATTTATATATCTAATTATATAATTTATAAGATTTAATTTATATATCTAAATCTTACCTGTTTTAAGTATAAAATTCAATGATCTTTAGTATATTTACAAACTTCTTGTGTAACCATCAGACTTTGGATCTTCTGCTTAGTTTATCAAGAATTTTTCTATTCGTCTGTGTAACATGGAAGTTCATTTGTGTCTTTTTTTTTTTTTTCCATTCTCAGCTGGGTGGCACCATTGGAGACATTGAAGGAATGCCATTTGTGGAAGCATTCAGACAATTCCAGTTTAAAGCAAAAAAAGAGAATTTCTGTAACATCCACGTTAGCCTTGTCCCACAGGTGAGCTTTCCAGATAAGGATGTAGACGTCAACTTCTATAAGTCTTCCTATGATATTCCGTTTATTTCAATCCACATTTTAATTAGGGAGCCATTCACTATCCAGGAGAGCTAATTGTCCATCACACTGACGGTGACCCATTTCTTTTCAGCCCAGCGCAACCGGAGAACAAAAAACCAAACCCACACAAAACAGTGTCCGCGCGCTGAGGGGCTTAGGCCTATCTCCTGATCTGGTGAGTTAAGGAGAGTAGGTACATTTCTTGGAATAGAACTTCCTTTTCTTAATCTATAACATCATCTAAGTTTTTTCCTGGTTCTCGGATGGTTCCTATGACATTGAGCTTTTTGTATCTGGGAGCCAGGGAAGGCTTATTCCCTCATCCTTGTGTCCCCTCGTTTGATTGGCTACATTGACAGCTGGGCAAGTGCAATGTCCTGTCATTTTGTATGGTCCCTGAGTCCTCGAGAGTGAGGTGGCACCTTGGAGATTTTTCTGTGACTCTGCCAGGATGTGCTATCAGTGCCCTTATTTATAGCAGATAATCCAGTTATTGCCAGAGGTGTAGATCAGGGGTCAGCAAATAAGGGCCTACAGGCCTGTCGCCTGTAAATAAAGTTTAATCGGAACATGGTACCACCCAGTGTTTACATCTGTCCGTAGCTACCTTTGTACTGCAACAGTACAGTTGGGTAGTCAGGACAGTGACTGCACAACCTGCAAAGCCTAAAATATTTCCCATCTGGCCCTTTAGAGAAAAAGTTTGCCAACCCCCGGTCTAGCTCTGTTCCTGGATTTTTAAAGAAGTGAGCTTTGATTTTACTTACGAGACACACCTTCATATTTTGAGTTCTTATCATGAGATTTGTGCTGAGTTTGATTATATTTGCTTATATGTGCTCCGACCAGTTTCTAAAAGTCCAGTGGAAATGCCCAGAATGAACATGTACATGGTCAAGTCTGTTGTAGCAAAAAGAAATGTATGTAGTGTCCTCCCGAAAACGAATGGTGACGTGGATAGCCGATTCCTGCTTGCTGACCCATGCATAACTGACTTTGACAGATCGTCTGCCGAAGTTCAACACCCATCGAAATGGCTGTGAAGGAAAAGATTTCTATGTTCTGTCACGTGAACCCTGAACAGGTCAGTGCTGCTCTTTAGATTTTGTTGCCTCGCAGGCACTTCTGCTGATGCCAGTGTTTTACACCTCTTAAATTATCATATTACTTTTCACAGCGTTTATGAAAACTCATATCCAAGCACGGCTTCCTGGCCTTTAAGTGAACAATCTCGAGACTCCTGATTCTTTAGATAGAGTGCATGTTTCTTCGCATAATCACTCCTTAAGTTATAGGTACAAAACCAAGTGGGCTTTTTAAATCCCAGTCAAACAATGTGAAGCCTGCTTATTGTCTCTTTATCTTGTCTTTCCAGGACAGTGACTGCTTTCACTGCAATTTCTCCCTTGTACCTGCTACAGCTTGACTCACCCCAAAGCACACATTACGTTGACACTCATGCTATCACTACTGATTACATCTGTGACCTCAGTTCAATTCATTGCCACAGAAACCCTATCGTGATTAGGGCTCAGGTCCTCTGTCCTGCCAGACTTTCCACCTGGGTATCTGAAAGTTAGCTTTTCCTTTATCTCTGTCTCCTGTTTGCAGTAAGGCTCAAGCACAAGGGACTGGAGTTGGCTGTAATTTAGAAAGTGATACAACCAGTGCTCAGGAAAAAGGTGAGGTATAGCAGACGGCTTTTATTTCCTTCAGAGAAGCTCTGAGTTCTCAGAAGCCTAAAAACCAACTAATCAGATTTCTCTATCTCAGCGGCATTCTGATGAAGAGCCTGCTGCCCAATGCTTCACAGTCAGTGCATGAGTCTGAACTACTTTGAAAAGTGTCATGGCAGGTGTAAAGGACTCGCCTGTGTTTGTATGTCATCAAGCCATTTTGATTTTGTTCCGTCGCGTTTTTTTTTAATACCCTTTCTTTGTGCGTGTACTAACGAATATTACCTGGCTTCCAAAATAGAAGAATATAGCTTTTAGATTTGGGTTGCTGAGAGCTTTGTTGACATGAGAGCATCTCAACCTGTAGAGAATTTTTATGAGTTTATATGAGCCAAACTGACAAATGCCAGGAAGCAAGATTTCAAATGCTCAGAAGAATGACAGTTTCGCAGTTCCATTTATACATTAAGGAGAGAAAGTAAGAAAGATTACATGAGGGTGGAAGGAAGCAAGGTAGGGATTGGATTACGGGATGGTTAACAAGATTATGTGCTTCCTTGTGGGTGGTTCTGTCTCAGACCTCAGACCGGTCGAAAAAGAGGATTGCTCTGACATTTCAAAGGTGCGTTAACCTTAGATGCATAGAGCAATGGACAGAGCTTGCTTAAAGCAAAGATAAACCTTTTACTAGAGAAGTTTAGAGGCCTGAAGTGACTGTTCAGTTAGGAATTTGTGATCAGATCACCCTGTGAGGTTACTTTCTGTCACTGAGTTTGTCAGATTTACAGAGCCCCTTTTTTGTTCACAGCTCTGAGAACAGAAGATTTAGTCCAAACTTTCGACTATATTGAGTCTGTTTTCTATATAACTATAGATTCTGAAGAATGCCGTCTCATCATTCCACAGTCCAGTTTATTAACCATTTTTTAGCGCATTGTTTTTTCTGATATAATGCTCCTATTTCATAGTTCCTGATGAATTTGTGTTTAAAGCTCTTCTCATCTGGGTCGCGCGGGAGAGGAGATGGAGAATTAGAGGCCTCTTTATGGATGTGACCCATGTGACCCACTATGACATTTGAAAAAATATCTGTCTGGTCTGGAGGATGAGTAAATAGATCCATACTCTTTGCCTTACACTTGTGGGAATTGTGGTTCAGAGATTTAATTCTTGTGACAGAGCCTCATATCAGTGACATCTTGATACTTTCAATCGTGTTGATGAATGGCCAAGTGAGGCACGCTAGTCTTAAGTATCAGGTTGGCGACGTCCAGACGGCTTCGGAAGCCCCTGGTTGCATAGCTATGGTTTTGGGAAGACTGCACACATTATTGACAGAACATTTTTTGGCATTTATGTAGGATGTGGCAGATCCTTAAATGCCTGCCAGTACTTTCTGGGATGTACTTGAGAGGGTGGTGAAAGCTCATTAGGGTAAGTGTGAAAAACAAACACACCTCCTGGCAGAGGAGCCATCTCCTCTAACAGGTGTAATTAATTTGACTGTGGGCTTGTAAATTTACCCCAAAGAAGGGAGCAGACAAAAGGAACTACAGCAGTAGCAGCAGCAGCAGCAGCCACGGCAACAAATGAATGAACGAACAAACTGCCTACCCACGTTTAGGAGATGAGGTGTGTGTATTCAATGCTACTGCTTTAACCTAGACTTAGAACACGGTACCTTGGGCTGCGTGTCTTGATATTGACATGGAAAGCATTCACATTCCAACGTCATTTCTCTGACACCAGCTGGGGGTCCTGCAGTTCAACCCTGACGCTAACGACCCAGAGCTCAGTCCTTTACCAGATGCCGTCACTTCAGACACTGGCCCCAAGTTTCCAGTATCCCCAAGTCACCCACACTTCTGCCTGGCTACTACAAATTTGGGGCTTTCCGACGACTCCTTCACATTTGAGGATTCTCTAAAACTACTCACAGAACTCAGGAAAGTGTCATATTTACTATTACCGTTTTATTATAAAGGGTGCAAATGAACAGCCAGACGAAGAGATACAGAGTACAAAGTCTAGGAGGGTCGTGCGTGCAAGAGCTTTCATCTCCGTGGAGTCACGGCGCACCTGTGCATACCAACCAGGGTGCTCCCCTGAGTCTTGTATTCGGAGTTTTACTGGGGTTTCATTACGCAGGCGGAAGTCATTGGTCACGTGATTGAACTCAATCTCTAGCCCCCATCCCCTCCCAGAGGTCTGGTGGCTGAAAGTTCTAGCCCTCTAACGATTTGGTTGGTTTTTCCGGTGACTAACTCCCCTCCCGAAGCCATCTAGGGGGCCACCCTGAGTTGCTTCATTAGCATGACAAAAGATACCCCTGTCACTAAGGAAATTCCAAAGGTTTTAGAAGCTCTGTGTCAGGAACTGGAAACAAAGACCATATACTACATATATTGTTCTACCACAGCACCCTTGGTTCCAGAGGTAGAAAGTTCAAAGCATTTTGTAATTAGAGAAAACTAACTTTGTGTTCATTCTGCCTCTAGTTTAGATGGCTGGGCTCTTGCTTTTCTTCAGTATAAATGAATTGCCAGGCTCTTGAGTTCCGGCTAATTCTGGAGCTCATTCTTGTGGCACATTTGAGTCATTCCACTTAAATAGTGTGTTTTATCATCATTAACCAGGTCATATGTATCCATGATGTTTCTTCCACATACCGAGTGCCTGTGCTCTTGGAGGAACAAAGCATCGTTAAGTATTTTAAAGAGAGACTGGATTTGCCCATTGGTGATTCTGCAAGTAATCTGCTTTTCAAGTGGAGAAATATGGCTGACAGGTACGTGAAAGGAATTACTAATGTGATCTTTAATGATTCTTGGGTTTGGGGGAGGGACTGAGATGTACCTTAAAAGATACCTATGTTGCATTTGGCTTTCTGTACCTGTGTGTTTTGGTCTGGATGTGTCTAAAGCTCTATCACATTGCGAGAATGTTTTTGCTGTATTCTTTGAAGATTTCTGGGACCTTTTTGATTTATTTCTTAGTTTATTTCCTAGTTTTTGAACATTTTAAACAATTTTAAATGTCATGGGTTTTTTTGTTCGTTTCTTTTTGTTTCATTTGTTTTTAAGATTTGGTTAACATTTCCTAAAGAAAATCATTTTGAATGGGAAGTTTTGGCTACATTATTATTGTTCCATCCTGCATTTATTAACTATCAGCATTGTTATTAAAACCCCTGATAGATTTTAACTTTAAGACAACCATATTAATTTCAGCAAGGTTTGTCTCATTTGAAATCATGTTGAAATGAAATCTCCATCACTTGTTTTCTTTTATTAAATGTAAATGAGGTTAAAAGGGGGGGGCATTGGGATTAAAAAAATTAAAACAATTTTTTTAAATGTAGATGAGGTGTGACTCCTCCGTAAAGTCCTGGCTGCCTGGCTTCTTGTTCAGCTTATGAAGAGGTGGGAGGTTACAAATGTAGGCTCTAGTGTTACTAAAAGAGTAGATCTTAAAAATTCTCATTACACAAAAAAAATTCTTGTAACTATATATGGAGATGGATGTTAATTACACTTATTGTGTTGATCATTGCACGATATCCACGTGTATCAAATCATTATGCTGTACATTATATGTAAATTAAAAAAAAATGTGGGCTATGGCATCCAGCTCTGTGGATTCAGACCCCAGCTTCTCCTCTCACTAACTGCGTGAGTTTGGGCAGATTACTTTACCTTTCTGAGCTTGTTCTCACATCCATCTGTAACGGGGATACCAGGACCCACATTGTGGCAATTATAAAAGAAAACATGTAAGGCTTTAACATTGAATCAGACACTAAGTATTGATTATTGATATTGGTAACTAAAATGATTTGATGGTGACAAAATAGCTGACCTTGGTAGATGCCTAGTAGATTGAAGTTCTCTTACCTTTACACTTAAAATTTTTTAAAGTATTTTGGCATTTCTGGGGCAAGTAGAATCAGGAATAAAGTGCAATTTCTGAACTTAGGTACTCTAATGAATGATGATAAATTAAGCCCCTGCCCTACAGATGCTTAAGGAATCAGTCACTTTGTAGGAGTTTTCTGAGTAGCTTGGGGCTGATTCTCTTTTAGCACTAGAAATTTTAATATTTTAACTCTTTTTATTGGAAATAGCTCTAAATCATACTCTATGCGTCTGTGCTTTTTAAAGCCAGTGTTTGGTCTTCGTATCAGTTTCCCGTGGCTACTATAACGAAGTACAGCAAACTGGGTGGCTTAAAACAGCAGAAATTTATTCTCACAATTATGGAGGTCAGAAGTTCAAGATCAAGGTGTCAGCAGGGTTGGTTTCTTCTTGAGGCCCAGAGGGAGAATCTCTTCCTTGAGTCTCTCCTGGCTTCAGGAGGCTGCCAGCTGTCCTTGGTGTTCTTGGCTTGTGGCCACATCCCTCCAATCTCTGCCTTTGTTGTCACAGGGACTTCTTCTTGGTAACTTTTCCTCTTATTTTCTTTTATAAGATGCTTGTCTTTGGATTTAGGGCCCATCCTAATCCAGGATGATCTCATCTCAAGATATTTCAATTCACTGTACCTGCAAAGACCCTTTTTACAAATATGGCTACAGTTGCAAGTTCTAAGAGACTGGTTTAACTCACTGCATTCTTTAAGCAAAGGGAATATTGAGCATCGGTCCCTCTGAGTCATGTTGACGGTGATGTTGGTTCGTTGGTAATGGCAGCTTGGAGTGTCCATTCTTTAGCCGCTGTCCCCTCAGTATACCCTGTAGAGAGATACGAGGAGGCAAACAGAGATCGAAGGGCAGCTTTGATCATGGAGGTCCAGTGCTGCTCAGGGGCCAGGGGTCCCTCATTGAACCTGATGGAAGAGCTTGCCTGGGACCCGAGGCCAAAGTAGATACAACCCTGCCTCTCTGGGGACTTGCCTGTAGGGGGATGGGTCTGCGAAGTAGACTCTACGTCTGCTTCCCACCAGCAGCTCACAGTAGTGTTGGCACCTCTCACAGTCAGGTGATGGTTGAAAGACCGCAAGGTAGAGGCTCAGCTGGTCTGGGCAGAGCCCTGTGAGCCTAGCCTGCAGGTCCAAGAGGGAAAGTGGTCACCGGGGAGGTGGGGTGAGGATACTTTCCTGGACAGTGGCCCTCCTTCCTGGTCGGCAGTAGTCTCTCAAAACCTGGGCTTGATACCAACTTGATTTGTTACCTGCATCCTTTATGTAGAGCTGAGGTGAAGCATGGGCGGCTACATAATCTCTAGATAAGAACTATGAACTAGAGCAAAGAAAGGCATGTTTCCCTTTACCTCCTTTCTGAAGTCTCCTTCCTTTTGTGGTCTTATGCTATCCAACCAATCAGCTTTTATACCATCAAAATAACTCTGGACTCTGGATTTCAGTGATTCATATTGCCAAATCGCAGCTGATCCAAATGCACAGCCTGTAAACTATACAAAATATATTGCGGGGGG